AGAAAGAACTGTTGGAAGCTCAAAAAGCATTGGAGGAAGAGAAAAGCACAGCACAAGAAGCCAAAAATAAATATCAAACTGCAAAGAAGGAGGCAGGAAATGTGATGCAGGAATTACAGGAGGTGCAGGAAGCTTTTGAAGAGGAAAAAAGGAAAATGCAGTTGGCAACACAAGAAGCTGCAAATGTAACGGCTGAAGCTGAAACACTAAGGAAGGAATTACTGCATGTGAAGCAACAACTTGAAGAGGAGAAAAAACGTAAACATGAGGCAGAAAATGAGATTGAAAATTTGAAGAAAGAATTGTTGGAAGCTCAAAAAGTGTTGGAGGAAGAGAAAATTAAAATACAGGAAGCAAAGAAAGAAATGGAAGATACAAAGAGTTACACTCAAAACATGAAGAAGGAACTGATGAAAGTGCAAGAAGAACTTGCAGAAGAGAAAATTGAGGTGAAGGCATTCAAGAAAGAAATGACCAAGAAAGACTGCAAAGACGCACTTAAAGAAATACGAAAGCACAAAAAGGAAGCTAAAGAGCTCCTCAAACAGAAAGTGAAACTGGCCAAACAGCAGCTGAAAGAAAAATTTAAAGATGCCGAGGAGCAGCTCAACAAAACCTTAAAAGAACTGAAGGCAAAAGAAAAGCAAGCCGAGGACAGGAGGGGATTCTGGAGCAGACTGCTGAGAAAGAACTGACCCAGCAGCATCGAGTTTGAGGACATCAATAGTTTCTTCCTCCTCTCTCCACCTTTCTTTCACCCCATCCTTCTTCTTGGGACGTTTGTTTGTTTTTTAAAAACTGAAATACACAAATAAAATTGCCATAACTTGACCTCATGTTGCCTGCTTCTTTTCTTGTGTGTCTGTGGATGTAAAACAGTAACACACTTTCTGCTCTGTGTCTTTAATTGTAAATAAATGCAATATGTTTTCATTTTAAAATGCAGTGCAAAAAACTTCTGCTCTAAATCTTTTTTTTTTTTTAGCAAAAAGCTTTTTTTTTTGCCTGTTGTGGAAGTTTTCCATTTAAATAAAGCCTGCAGACGAGCGGTGAGTGGTAGCTAACATTCTTTAAATATGTAGCCAGTCAACAGTCTGGCTTCATAAAGTGTTTTGCCTATCACAAACAATCTCTGGAGACAATGCCTAAAAGTATCAGCATGGTGATTTTAGTGGCTATGGAAACGTTGTTGCTTGGAAGTACCATAACACCCTGTAACAATTTTTAATTTCCTCGCATGGTGAGGGAGCCAAAAGTGAGTGCAAAAAATGTCTAAATTGATGTCAAGTTGTTCTGGGTTAAACTGAAGAGTGAGGTTCCACTCTGAGGTCAAGTGTGCCTGTTGGTGCAAATTAATAGAAAGAGTCAGGACACTGAATATCTGGCAGTGCAGCTAGAAATCGTAATTCATGTATGAATTATCTGCTAGTACTAAAAGCACCAGATTGTTTTGCATTTGAAGAAGTTTCTGAATCACAGACTGAAAAAAAAACAACTACTGTGCATTAATAGACAGTCAAAATACAGCAAAAAGGAAAAAAAAATCACTTCTGGTTATTTTTCTGAGGATATATTGTTGAATAAATGTCAGCTTCACAGGTAAACAGACAATATGAGAAGCACATCAAGATGAGGTTCATGGAGAACATTTGGAGAGAGCAAATTTGTATTTGACCCTTTGCTGCTGTTATTATTAGAAAGTCTAATAACTGCAGAAGCTCAATGAAGGCTCAGGCCTGAGAAGGACGCATGAGGACATGTAATGTAAATACAGATTTCACAGTCTGCATAAAGATTTTTATTCCTCTTTGTTGTCAGACATGGCAGCAGTTCTCTCTTCTCTTATTTGATGGCTTTCATATTATTTATACTGAACCGCATAAGCTGTCTGTTCTCCTTGGAGAAGAATGAAAGAAATGACAAGCACAACCATGCAACGTAGCAGACAACAAGCAGTCTAAATTCACTTTATGGCCCAAACAATCCCACGCTTGGAACGCCAGTGATTCATTCTTAGTAGTTCATGACTGTTTGCTAAGAATCTTTTAACCCCCAGTTAACAGTTTCAGCTCTTATGCAACGCTGTGTTGGCTGGAGAAACATATACACTCAAACTGGCAAAACAAGCCAGTTTACGGAACAGTAAGACATTTTTGAAAAATAAGATGGAAAAAAACAGAAAAACCTTCCGTTACAATTTGAAGGGTGTTAAGGTGAGTCAGACTTCCTGTTTTATTTCGGTAGCTTGTTGTCTTTGGTGTCTTATTCCTGGTTTTACTTTCCCTGGCTCATTGTCCTTGATTTTTTGCAGCTGTGTCTTGTTACGCTTATATTTCCACTCTTCCTGATTACCTTTAATACCATAAGTATTATAAGTATTTAGTCACACATTCAAATCATTGGATGCAGGCGTTCCAATCACCTCCACGACCACTGGTGTGTAAAATCAAGCACCTGTGGCCATGGAGGTTTAGATATGTGAATTCCACCCTGGTACCATGGTAGAATGTAGGAAAGTTTCCTTACTACCATATATTTCACAGTCAACTGTTAGTGGTATTAAAACAAAAAGGAAGTGACTGGGAACAACAGCAACTCAGTGGCAAATGCTCAGGTGCATAATATCCATAGGTCGCCAACTTTCTGAGTCACTCGCCTCCAAACTTAATGAGAGCTTCATGGAATGGGTTACCGGGGCAAGCATCTGCATTCAATCCTTACATCACCAAGTGCAATGCAAAGTGTGGGATATAGTGATGTAAAGCATGCTGCCGCTGAACTCTACAGTAGTGGAGATGGGTTCTCTGGAATGACAAATCCCACTTCTCCATCTGGCAATCCAATGGGTGAGTCTGGGTTTGGCGGTTGCCAGGACAACAGTACTTGTCTGACTGCATTGTCCCAAGTATCCGGTCTTTAAGTGATGACATGATGAATCCTGCATTCTGGGCCCAAAGTAGTCTGTATTTAATAAGGCTGTTGTGTTTTTAACATGTTTTAATAGTTTGTATCTTGTTCTATTTAATCTCAAAAAGCCCCTAAAAACAGTCAGTGATCACTGTCAGCGTCTCTCGGGTTTTATTACCGCTATTCATTTTAAAGCTCAGTTTTTAAATCTGTACATGTAACTACAGCCCAGCCCATGCAGCAGTATATGAATGACTAACCTCGTATTGCGGATGGATTATCTCAGTTGTTCTCCTGGCTGAAGTTTGGTCCTTTTACAGCATCCTGCCATGCGATTACATTTGTTCCTGACCAGAACACTCACGTTAACTTTTATCGAGTGGAAAAAAGTCCTTGTTCGTTAGCGTTCATCCTCCAGCTTCACTATTTATATTATGCTAACATAGCTGTGTTGCTAGCGGTCACGTAGCACATCATTATATACCAGCTAGCCCAACTTCAGTAACCCTACAAACGTCACTGCTGTTTAGTTTTCTGTCTTCATTTATGTTGGAAGTGATAGCAGAGCTGTACGTTTTAATTTGTTTTCAGTAATCCCTCAGTCAGAACATGGTATATTATATTTAGATGGAAACTAGCGCGCTAAATCCCTGCTAACTTCTAACTCTGTTAAATTTCATAAATTCTACTTTCATGGATGTCTGGATGTTAAACTTAATGGTTACACCTGGTAAGAGCAGCACACTGATCATTTTAGTACAGATGAAAGATTTTAGACAGTTTTTTAACTCTCAGTGATGCTGCAGTGATTGTTTGACTTAAGGACCTGTGGCGGAGTTTGGGCCCAGACATGGCTAATGACGTCAGACTTAAAGACCAGACAGAGTTTTGTGGAGGAAAGATTATGGTGAGGCCTTGTTTTTTGGGTTCTTTCCACTGAAAGGAACTCTTATAGCTTCAGGATGCCAAGACATTTTAGACAACTTCATGCTCCCAATTTTGTGGGAACAGTTTGGGAATGGCTACTTCCTGGTCCAACATGACTGCGTATCAGTGCACAAAGTATAGTTCATAAACATGGACATAAGTGAGTTTGGAGTGGAAGAACTTGAGTAGCCTGCACAGAGCCCTGACCTCATCAGAAAGAACATCTTTGGGATGAATTAATGCAGAGACTGCAAGCCAGGCCTTCTCCAACATCAGTATTTGACTTACAAATGCGCTTCTGGAATAACAGTGCATCCACTGGTTTCAGCAAGCTCACAGTAAAAGACTCAAAAAAGTCAGTGTGCATGGCCATTCAGGGTAACTGCTTTTAGACTTTAATTAGAAAGCATTTCTTATTAATGACATTTGTGACTCTTAACTGCACTTTTGTCCTTGTGAGGAGTCTGTGTTGGACTGGGAGCAGTTTAAAAAAAAGTACTATATATATATATCTATTATATATATATATATATATATTAATCATATTAATATATATATATATATATTATATATAATATAATATATATATATATATAGTATATATATTATTATATATATATTAGTAGATTCAATTTGCAAAGCTAACATCTACGCAGTCTATTTACAGTACTGCTCACTGTTTGAGCTACAGGTGAGTAATAGAGGGGTATAAATGTGATATCTGTTGGATTTTCCTGGAAACTACTTCTCAAGTTTAAAAAATCACTCAAAATAACAACAACAACAAAAAGAAAAGCAAAGATAAATGACTGCTAGAGGCCACAAAGATAGCTTTTTTTAGTTAATAAAGCGTGTATTGCAATAACAATTATGTGTTACAAGCTGAAACGCTGAAATTTTGCTTTGCGTATGGAAACGAAATGTGACTAATGGATTAGTCAGCTTTAGAGAGCCTGGTAAGTGAGTTTTGTTATATTCTAACAGAACTAAGCAAACTCATTTCAATCAATTCTTTTGGGTTTTTATGATCAGTATTTTGTTAGGTCCTATGTGTGTGGGCCACACACACAATTCCATGCTTACACTATTTCATTGATTAACTAAACAAAACACACTCAGGCCTCACAAGCCAGTAAACATCAGAAATATTTTTTATCATGTATATTTAAAGGATATTTAGTATGTTTATCAGACCTCTAGAATGCACAGTGGTGATCAGAAGGAGTCACAGAAATCAAGTTCAAAGAAGACAACTCCAAAGGGCCTTTTATGCTGGTTTAACATGCAAAAATGTGGTAATTAGTATTAAACACAAAGTACTCAGGCACATGGAATGTTATGATTATTGCAGGCATTTGCATTGGAAATTTAGTATCCCATTATGAGTCAGAAATTTTATAGTAAGGCTAATAGATCCTACCCCTCGCACTTGCATGATTTGCTGATAGATATTGATGTTTCATGGGTTAAAAAGAGGATAACGACATGATTTCCATTCTGCTCAGAATCTCTGCCCAAAAGAGCTTTGTTCATTCTGAACAGAAGTGGAAAAATAAAGCGACTGTGCAGGAGGTAAAGCACAGCTGGAGAGTCAAGATTCAAACCCTCTGAAAGATCAGTTTTGAAAGGATCAGTTATCCCTTCATTATGCTCTGAGGGACGAGACACTGAGGCAGGTTTTATTTCATCATTTGACTCCTGTTCTTTTATTTCTTATATATCACACCTGACAGGGTAATAATTAATGGGATGAGAGCTCAGATGGCAGGGTCCCTGAGGGTCCTGAGAACCTCCCCTCAGTGGTAGCTTCAACTCTAAGGTTTAATGTATTCCTGCTTGGTAAAGTGACATTCATTTTGACATATGAAGGCCATTATTTTTCTCACCTAGTTGCAGATTGTCAAACTAATCATTATCATTATTCAAACTTATATATTCAACAATTAAGGCATTTGATTGGTGACAGCTTCTGTCTTTGTGCATTTACCATTCACCTAGCATTAATTACATGTCGTCTATATGAAGCTACCCAAAGAGCACGCAGAATTTAAACTGCTTATCTCATGTGACAT